CCAGAGTGGGATGGGAATGGAAATTTTGCAATATCCTTCCCCCAGGAGTCGGGAGGAAATGGGGGTTTTGCAGTATCCTTCCCCTGCCACGCCCACCAAGCCGCGTCCACAGAACCGGTAGTAAAAAAAATTGAATTACACCACTGATTCACTGCATATTGAGGGTAGCTGATATCTGAAGCAGACTAATTCATGCTGTTTGCACGCTGTTGAGTTTGTAATTATTAGAGAGCCAGTGCAGTGATATTGTGGATATAGATAATATAGGCACATTAATTAATGTCCTCTGATTAATGATGTTTAGGAAATTTAAAATTCTAAAGTGTATCAGTATACATATAGGCACCTAGAAAATAAACTTATCTTTCTAGTCTCCCTTGGTCTCCATCACAACCTATTGTAGAAACATTGAATTTTGAGGGAATGTGGCATCACATGAGAATATGCATAAGGACATAGCCTTTCTGGAAACAGTTTTCCCTCATCACTCAGGATACAAAGAAAGTGAAATATATAAATTCTACTCTTTTTTCTATAATATTTGAATGAATCTTAGTCATAAATGGAAATATTTAAGAATGGTATGTTTGTGTAAATTTTATGAGGAAAGTTCATGCTGTGCTTAATCTGTTCATCATGAAACTGCTTTAAGATACTATTAAGCTAGTTCCTGTTCACCATTGTATATGAAAATAGGAAATGGTAGGAATCTCTCTGAAACTTGCTTACTTTGTAATTGGAAATTCTAGTAATTAAATTAGAAACACAAAGCAATTACTGTAGAAACTCTTACTTGGGGAAGTTTTCATCTAAGATCGAGACAAAAGATCCAGAAACGGAGTCTAGTCCCTCTAAGAGGACTGATCGATTAGATTCAGGATTTTTTGAGTTGAATCATATGGGTGTTACACTATTACAAATATGTACATAAATCATCAAGACAGAAGTACCAACATTGAGCCTTCCTTATTAATTCAGTCTCTGAAACACCTCAAATTCTTTTAATTTTATGTTCTTTCAAATAAGGTATAAATAGAACAGCGCTTCGAGAAATAAAACTGCTGCAAGAGCTTAGCCATCCAAATATTATTGGAGTAAGTATGAAGTATTATATTTTTAAAAACCCTTTATATTGTTACCTTGCTGTCAATATAATTGGCTAAAAAATGTTATTTCTATGAGAATTCTCAGAAAAATCAATCTTCTAAAGTTGATACAAAAAAAATTGATACTTTTAAAAGCTATTTGTGTATTAGGCCTAATTCATTATATTCTTGTATAACCTATTTACCTATGGCACTTTTCTGTTCACTCAAGTACTCCATGTAGGTTAGGATGATATGAAAGATGCAAATGGCATGGTTTAGTTTCAAATAAATGTTGATTATGTTAATGGAGGAAGAAACAATATATATTGCAATAAAAGAATGCAATCTTCTAATAGCAATGAACCCCTTGGTTTCAGATATTAAGGACCCAGATTGTTTGGNGTATGTATAGATTTATGCGTATGTATAAATAAACATGTATATTTATTTATATGCATAGCTATTTTTCTGTTAAAGCTGTTACTGAACTGTTGCAGTTTCTGACCTGCATATGTTAAAAAAGAATATTCTGCATTCTAGATAAAACTTGGACACAGATCAGAAGCTAAAGATGGTAAGTATCTGAAATACCTAATAAGTAAAAGTTTTTTTTTGTTAAGTAGTTTCTGAAAGATGAAATAAGGGATGGTGATTAGGAGGGAATCCCAGTTCAGATTTATTTATATACTCGCATTAGCTCTGTCACAATCATGAGGACACTCTGCATTTCACAATATGTATCAAAACAATATCACACAAGATCCCCAATAAAACAGAGAAAAGAAAACAATAAACCAATCCCAACATAAATTTAAAATTGTTGGTGTCAACTCCTATCACAAAATTCTAAGAGACCCTGTGTTTTTAATTGCTTCTGGAGGGCCAACAATATAGGGCTGATCTAATTTCTAAGGGGAGACAATCCCAAAACGCAGCAACACTGACAGAAAAAAAAGCATTTGCAATCCTCTAATCGCCTCACTACATGAAAGTGGACAATCACCTTCAGTTTCTCCTGGGATATATGTATTGAGGAAAAAAACCCAGGTGCCTAATAGAGACCTTTTGAAGTCATAAGGTAACTAAAGCAGACTATTCAAAAAGTCTGTTTGCTCTGCAGGTTTTTTAGTAGCTACCACAATCATCTGGACCAGGAAGGGATCTGATCACAACAAAGGGCAGATTTAATTTCATTTCATATCCAGATCATAATATCTACTAAGACAAAACAAGCCCAGCTGCTTATATGTTGTGACAAATTACATGGGACAAGCCCACAGTTGCCAGAGGCTGTGAGCTCCCAAACTCTTTCCTAACACCCCTAAGACTTCAATGGAAATTGAAGTCACCCATCACCAAAAACTGAGCAGATTTTAACACCAGCATTGACACCACATCAAACAGATAAGATACCCAAAACCTAGAAGTAAGTAATCTCTGACTGCATGACTTTTTTGCCTTTGCCCATCCAGGTCTCAGTAATACACACTGCGTTCACATACTCATCTACAATGAATTTGTAAAGAATAAGATCTTACTAAACGTGGACCTCAGATGACATGATCAACAAAATTATTTAAGTTGCTCACCTGATTCACAAGCAGATGGAATGAAAAACATGGCCTTTGAAATTAAAGATTCACTGCAAGGGTGAAATTCAGCAGGTTCTGACAGGTTCTGGAGAACCATAGCGGAAATTTTGAGTAGTTCAGAGAACCGGCAAATACCACCTCTGGCTGGCTCCAGAGTGGGATGGGAATGGAAATTTTGCAATATCCTTCCCCCAGGAGTCGGGAGGAAAT